TTGGGATCTTCAAATTGATTTTAATATAGCCATTGCTGGCATGCTGCCATTAATGCCTGCATAGTTCAGTGAGGAGACCACAGAGTGTCTCATAATTGGAGGTCAGACTACACCAAAGTTGGCCTCCCTTGGTCAGTGTAATTAGCTGAGCAGGAAGGGTTTGTACAGGGCCTCTGAAGTTGTATTTTCCTCATTGCCATTCACATGACCAGCTCAGAAGAATCACTTGGATCCACAATGTACGGATGAGTAGATAGCGTAAAAGAGAGAAAGTTCAAATTCCTTGGCATTGCAGCACGTCTGGCAGGACTGAAAATGGGACTTCAAAAGAGCTGTTTAACCAGGAGGATGGTTGTGTCATTCTCACTATTCCAGCACACAGGGAGCACGTGCAGGCTGGTACAAAATCAGCTTAAACTAGTGCATATTCCATTCCTGTTCAGTGCTACTTTTTCCTTTCTTCAAGTCTCTTTCTCCTCTGTGACTCATCGTTTTGTCTTTAGATCTTGTTCTGGAGCCAGATCATAAGCAACCCAGAATGCTGAGCTGTGCCCAACCATTCATGTAGCTCCAGTTGCTGTTGCTTAAAAAAATCACATAAATGTACCAAACTCTGACTTTTACTGCTAGTTTTCCTTCTGTGGTTGTAGCCCTCCTAGTCAGGAGCATCCTTTGTTTCTTCTGTTGGTTTTCATTGAGATCTGGTAGATATTTATGTCTTTTGCTGATCATTAATTTCTCCATAGCTTTGATTTACCTTTCCCTTTACTGCTCAGTTTCATCTTGTCCCCTCTTCCCTACACATCTTTAAAAGATCCCAAATGTGGATTAAATCTGAAGGCACTTCTCATTCATCTAATTTCTGAACTGCTGACATAAACACATAATTTACCACAATCTATCAAACTAGAATCGTTATCATTGCTCTGTTTTGTCCTTTGTTAATACTTCTAACACAAACTAAAATTATGATTCTAATAATGATTCTGTAAATCACCGGTCAGATTGCTGTCTTCTATTTGAGCAGCAAGAGTCCTCAGATCATACAAAAGAAACCTAAAGTGTGGTCTGCACACTGTATTAATTTCTTGTTTATCACACTTCTTTAATAAACTCCATTTTTATCCTTGGCATCTAGGCTGCAACTATTTACTCGAGTACAGGAAAACATTTACTTATCAGAGAATTAAATGGGTTAAGCCAGCGGGAATATTTCCCAAATAAGGAATTCAAATATCAGCCCTAAGCTAGGAAGGCAAAAGTCTCTTGAGACACTGTTTTCTCACCTCCTGTCCATTTAATTTGTTACTCCCATGCTTTCACATATTTGATGGCTGCTTGACAATTTTATTGTGTGTTGTACTGTCCCTCAGCAATCACACCTCCCTCTCCCTCATTCTCTCAGTGGTCACACAGCTCACATCCGATACTCATCTCCACCACTAAGGGTTCTATTGTCCCCTTGATATGTACGTGCAACTCCCACTGCTGTCAATAGGAATTACATGTGTGCATCAAGCAGGGAAAAATCCCTCGTGTTCTCTCCGCTCCTCATTATCCCAGCACAGTCAGCTCTGTAGATGGCTCATCTATGAGCCTTTTATTCTCTTGAGTGTTGTGCAGTGCAGCAAGTTGGCTCTTAGGATCAGCAGTTTTGTTCTTGAGGTGTTTAGCAAGTTGATTTACTGTGCATGTGCACGCTCTTAAATGTCTTCATCCAGCCAAACCCACATCTTGTAGCATTTGTGTGTTAGACAGTAGAGCTTCCTATTTCCATTTTGTGCCAGAATACCAGTTCCTTACCAGTCTCCCATCAGATTCCAAGTGAAGTGAGACTCCGAAGCGAACCCTCCCAAATAACATATGTTCAGGCCCAGCTCAGACCTGTAATCTTAAATGCAATAGTTTGTGAAAAATTCAGTAGGTACAAAAATGTAAATGGCATATTTTAATTTTCCTTAAAGATCTGAAGGAAGATATTTTGTAAGTACTTCATGTTAAGTGCTTCTAAACAAGGAGGTAGTTGAAATGGTAGCTAATCAGTTAGAAACACTGTAATTCCTTCCAAAATTAATTGGAGTGTAAAGAGTTGAAGGAAAATGGTAGAGTGAAAGAAACCACACAGGTAAACCAGTGATTTCCATTGTCTGAATGCTGGATCTGTATTCTCCTCTGACTTCTGGAAACACCTCAGTTTGGGAAGGCACCCACTGTCTCACACAGCCCAGTGTTATTAGAAACATAACCTGGACTCGTACTCACTCCATTTGCAGCCTCATTTCCTGAGCACAGAGTTTGTTACCACAGCTTAGAAAAGAGGGATGGCAAACCAGTTTGGGAAAAAAAAATCAATTTGCCATCAGATTAGAAATCAACTGTAAACATGTTGAAGAATTCTATTTTTTTTTCCACTACTGCTCTGCCTTTTCTTCACAATCTGTTGTGGTGTCAGACTTATTTTGACAATACTTGTAGAACTTGTCATATTAACAAAGTTATCAAACAGAACGAGCACATGCATAGCAACAGCTGTAGTCCAGCCAGAGTCAAAATAACCAGCCACAGGTATTCACAAAGAAATATCCACTCTGTAGTTGCCCAAATCCAAAATATTCCAAGTAGACACCAGAGCACTTGTAGTTTTATTTAAATAGCAACTGCCCTTCAACTTGGAACAATCTACTTCAAACTTTTGAGGATATATATAAAAGAAGAAAATGTATTTTATATATATATATATATATATATACATAAGGATTTATTTTTGCTATGATAGTGTCACTCGATTATTTCTCCCTCTGTGAAAGTGCTTCATAAAAAAGGGTCTACGTTAAATTCAATACAATGATGGGATTTATTTCATGTTATATAACAAACTCAGAAACGCTTGTTTAAAAACAAAATAAACCCCATAATCCACTAAGACTGTAAATTGGTGGGGTTGGAACAATCTTTTCATTATTCGTGTCTACAGAGCTTAATACAATGAGGCCTCAGTTCTCCACTAACGTCTCTAGGTGTTAACACAATGCTATTAAATCTACTCAATAGCCAAAGATGCAGTCAGTGGATTTATGTGTCTCATTCCTTCAGAAACGTGAAAATCTCACAGAACAGTTTAATGACCAGATTTTTCAGCTGCAGTGTCTGACTTTGCACGTACATCAGACAGTGTGCATCTATTTATGCAAATCGTTGTGGGATTTATATGCACAAAATATACATGCCCAGGAACTTCTATTTGTGGCATTGAGTTGCACTGGGAGAGGGAGAGGATGGTGTTTGGGTGGCAGGGTCATGCTGTAGGAAAAGAGCAGGAGCCTGAAACTGCTTCTTTCTGCTCTCAGTTTTCTGTGTGACTGAAGTTTCACTTTCTGGCCCTGCGTTGATCTTCCTTTATTTTTACACCAGAAAACCGCTAGTTCAGTGGAGTTAGCTTTCTCTGCTACTGATGTGGATGTGGATTAGGCTTGACAAGCCTATTTTCCTCTAAGAAAAGCAGAGCCAGGCTCACGGACACGGCTGAGGAGCTGTTTCTGGCACTGCCAATTTCTCTACCTGATCCTCAGCAGACCTAAATCATTCTCTGCTGGAGAGGCACTTGCTGCACCCTCCCCAGCATGAGTGCAGAGCCTGAAGTGGGGGCTCAGGGACCTGCACCCCCATCCCTGCCCGCCCAGAGCCCGTCCTGACCCTCATCCCACAGAGCCAGACCCGGCTGCCATGGAGGCACTCCTGCCCTCACAGAGGGGTGATACCAGCAAAGCCCTTTGCAGGTGAAGCAGAGAGTCCCTGCCATGGCAGGGCTGTGGTTTCTTCTGTTGTCGTTCTTCTCCAGGTATTCCAGTTTTTTATCTCTGGATATATTACTTTTTTCCTCCCCAGTAGGTAATTTTTCCTGTGGAGTTGCTACTCCCTTCTAATGGCACCTTTTCTCACGGCCTGGGCTCTGCTTTCCTCACGGGATACACTCACCAACCTGTGGATATATGTCTTTCCTATGGGCACACTCACTTTCCTCACGGGATGCACGTGCTTTTCACCTGGACACATTAGTTTTTTCCCCACTGGGCACACCTTTCCAGGGATATATCACTTTTTTCCTCAATATGCTACTTTTTCCCTCAATGGACATTCTACTTGTTCCTCCGTGGACACACGCCGAGAGGACTGGAGGAAATGCCTTAAGGTAATGCGATAGCCTTAAGGTGAGACAGGGGAGATTCAGACTCGGCACTAGAAAACACGTTGGCACTGTTGGGTCGGTCAGGGACTGGAATGGGCTGGTCAGGGATTGGAATGGGCTGGTCAGGGATTGGAATGGGCTGGTCAGTGACTGGAATGGGCTGGTCAGGGATTGGAATTGGCTGGTCAGGGATTGGAATGGGCTGGTCAGGGATTGGAATGGGCTGGTCAGGGATTGGAATGGGCTGCCCAGGGAGGTGGCGGAGTCACCATCCCCGGGTGCGCTCAGGACGCGCTGGGTGATGCGCTTTAGTGCTTTAGGCTGCGCAGGGTTGAACGCTTGGACTTGCCGATCTCAAAGGTCTCTTCCAGCCTTGACGATTCCACGATCCGTCTCCATCATCTCCGGGTTGTTTGTTTGTTTGTTTTTTTTCCCCGTGTCTCCATCATCTCCGGACGCGCTGGGGTATTTTTTTTTTTCCGTAATACGCCAATTTTTTCACCTTCGGTCATTTAAGTTCGTTCTCCGCGCAGCCGAGGCTCCCCGCGGAGCTCCACAGGGCGCCGAGGGACGCGGCGACGCCGAACTCCCCCCCCTCCTCCCGCTTTTCCCCGGCGCTCTCCCTCACCCTCCCCTTCCCCACGCTCGCCCTCGGCCCCCTCCCCTCAGCGGGGCGGCGCCTGCCGCTTTAAGGCGGCGCGTGCCCGCGCGCGGCGGGGCGGGGCGTGGCGGCGGCGCGCGCTTCACCTGCAGCCCGGAGCGGGCAGCGAGCGGCGGGAGCGGGGCGGCAGCGGCGACCCCCCGGCCCCGGCTCTGCGCGGCCACCGCCCCCCGCCCGGCGGGGCCATGAGGACCGGCTCGAGGGTGCTGCTGGTGCTGCTGCTCCTCCTTCCCGTCTGGGGCTCGGCGGCGGTAAGTGGGGCGCCCCACGGCGCGGAGGGTGGGGGGGACAGCGGGCGAGCATCACCCGTGCGATTCCCGTCCCCCGGAGGTGCCGCCGCGCCGCCCCGCCGCAACTTCGCGGCGCGCGGGGCTTTTCCGGCGGTGGGTGCTGCTGCTGCTGCTGCCGCCGCCGCTCCGCCGTTTCGCCCGCTTTTTAAAATCGCCGTTGCGGGGTTTAATTGTTAATTTGTTAATTTTTTTTTTAAGCTGCGCCTCCGCGGTGCGGGCGCAACTTGCCCTCCCTGCTTGCGCCTCTCCGGACAGAAACTTCGCGGGCAGCGGCGCGTCCCGGCGCGGAGCCGCTCCGCCCGCCCAGCCCCGCGGAGCCGCCGCGCTGCGCTCCCCGCCGCCCGCCCCGCGGAGCAGCCCTGAACTTTTATCTTTACGAGCCCCTAAACCCACCGGGCGGGCGCGGACCGTGTTTGTGAGGGGGTGGTGATGGTCTGAAAAGTTTGGGGTTTTTAGGGTTTTATTCCCACCCCGTCTGAAATGCAGGGGGGTCTGTAGAACATCAACAAGCGCCTGGACGCGTGGCTGCAGTGTTACAAAGCGAGCGGGGCTGCCGCTGGGTTTCGGGCTGCACTGGCTGCGGGAACAAGAGCCGTTTATTTTTCTGCCTCGATCCCCCGGTGCCAAGTTGAATGTGTGAGGATGTCCCGAGCCTTGGGGAGGCTGCTGGGTGCGCAGGAATAGCCCCCGTGCGCTCTCGTTTAGCGAGCACCGCTATAATAATGGGGCGATTTCAGATTCAAAGCCTGTTACGTTCAGCGAGACCCTTAGAAATGTTTCCTAATGGCAACATCTTGCCAGTGACGGTCAGAGTCCACAGAGCCGCCGCTTCCTTGCGCTTCCCATGCAGTAGCTGGCATCCGTCTCCCGAGCGTGATTCTTAGCCGAGTACGTTGGCTTGCGTTCTGCTTACTAAGCTCATCCGAAAGGACCCTTCGCTCCGCTTCCCTTCTGTCTCTCTCTAATGCAGCATCGTCTGCGTCCGGGAGTGTTTCGGGGGCCTCAGGGGAGCTCTGATGCTCCCCCCGGAGAGGCAGGTGCACGCCTGGAGTTGCACTTTCCCGAGGAAGTGCCTCTCCCGGTCCCCGGGCTTCAGCGAGCGGCTGGGACTGGAGGCGTCGGAGGTGCAGCCGGCATCGCTAAGCGATGCTCTGGCTGGCTCTGCCGACAGCCCGAGCGCGTTAGAAATCCCCTGCCACCAGCACTTGTTTGTGCGTAAATCACCTGGCACTCGTTAGGCATGAATCACTGGCTTGTGTGCTGTCAGCGAGTTCCTTGGAGTTGGGGTCTGGGACCTTCCTTGCCAGGGAATCCCAAGGAGCCTGGACTGCTGTGACTGGACTACTTTGTCCCTATGGCAGGGGCTGGATCCCCTCTGTGCAGTCCAAAGTTGCAGCTGAGTGTTTAGCTGGATGCTTGTCCCTGGTTCCTGGCACACTGTGTATGAGACTGTGCATTGTTACATTTTTGATTGAGATCCCCTCCATCCTCTCCTACTGCTGGGGCAAGTGCGGAGCCTGGAGGGTCCCAGAGGCAGCAGCAGGCAGAGCCTTGGAGGCTGGTGCAGGGTGAAGGGGAAGGAAGGGTGTCTCTACCTGGTCTCAGGCTCCTGAGGCTGCTGTGAGCTGGCTGTTTGTCCCCCGTCTGTCCTGTGCTTTGCCCGGTTTCTCAATAGCAAACCTCAGTGATTTGGATGTTGCAACATCAGGCCTTTCCGTGTCTCCAGTGCGAGCACAGCTCGCCCTGATGAATTGCTGCTCTTTGTTTCCTCCCCTCTTCTGACAGTGCCCAGTATCCCAGTCTTCCTACAAAACAATGCTCTCTTGTAGTCAGGCAACTACTTGCTGGCCCATTTTATTTTTGCAGCTACAGTATGGATGCACTCCAACAGATAGACACTCTAACACCAGCAGCTTCTGCTTGCACACTGCCTTACTGTGCAGGTTTGCCCATGCCTGTAACACCTCATCATTGGGTACAAAACATTCTCCCAAATGACAAAAGTCATAGTGTGCATTTTCCTTGTTTTTTGCAGGCACACAATGGGGATCTTACAGTGAGACCCACATGCAAGCCTGGCTTCTCAGAGCAAGACTACACAGCATTCGTCTCCCAAAACATCATGGAAGGGCAGAAGTTACTCAAAGGTAAGTGGAATAAAAAGCTTAATAGCTTCTGCAATAACTGTATTTTCAGGAGGTGAAAGGAGGCTTAAAGATGCTGGTTTTGATGGTGAAATTGTCTGCAGAATTATGTTTGTAGGAGGATGAAACACTAAGTGGTTTACCTGAGCACAGTTTTGAATACAGATGAATCACTGGAAGTCCGCGTGCTGTCTGCTCCAGGTGGATTGTTTGCTGTAGTATGCGAGGTCATCACTTCACTCTTAAGTCTCCCACTCCCACCCCGTCTGAAGGAGCTCTGCATTTGATATTTTAGAAAGTATTTTTATGTATGAAATTCAAAGATCCCTAAATTATCCCTGCTTTGAAATGCATGATAAAGCAGACGTTGTTGTTGGAAATGTGGTAAACAAGCCTACAGACATTCTGTTCACAAATGTGGCATTCATTTTCATTACTGCCCCACTGACAACATGAAAACATAGGCAAAAAGAAACTACCAATTAGCTTTATAGTAATTGCGGGATTATAACCAGTTTTGTGATTGTAAACTCTGAGATGTCTTCGTAATCCAAATAACAACAGATTATCCTGTGTATTGATTTGTCTCCCTTTCTAGTTAAAAATAATTAAACTTTAGATTTGCATGGCACAGGAAAATACTGTTTTACTCCAAGAGAATTTTTGAAGATCAAACCTCACCCCCCCAAGCACCCCCAGGAAGGTGGGGAGCACATCAGAACGATGCTCTACTCAAGGGTTTATAAACCTTTTGCTGCTTTCTCCTGAGTACAGTTACTCACATGCATCTCTCTGCCAGAAGGCTGGGATTTCTGTCTTCCTCCAGAGCAAACACCTGCTCTGTTACTTTGATTTTTCTCAGAAGAGAGGGAGAGTTGTCAGTGTTCTCTCTGGCTTCAGCAGAATCCAGGACTGGACATTTTTGCTCTCCATGAACTGGCAATCCGTTTTGTTTCTGGGCCCAGTTATCTTAGTGTTGCCGTTCAGGAATTCTCTTGCCTGGCCTGGCATCAATTAGTAAACATTGGGGAGTTTGTTTTTAGTTTGAAGGGTAACCAAATAAGGAACTGACACAGACAATCCCAGGAATACAGCAACATTGAAGAGACCAAATACCAATCATTTACACACATAATAGCAATTTTTCCCAAAGATTTACACTGGCTTTACAGGTCAGTCTGGAAACCGAGTAGATTTCATGCTTTTTTAGCTTTGGAAATTATTTGATAAAAAATGTTCTCCAAGTACTGTAGAAAGCAATATCATAAATATATTTGCTCAGAAGAGTATTTTTTGCAGTTTAGTGCTTGATAAATTGTGCTGTGTGTTTATGGGGGTGGACAACAGGGATGGAGCAGAAGGTCTCTTTAAAGGCATTAGCTGGCATTGACTTTGAAGAGAGCACAGTGCTGTCATTTTATTTCAGTTTTAAATAATTTTTAAATATGAAATTATATATACATAGGCTGTCAAGTTGATTTGAATGAAAATATATTTCCATTTAATATTATCCTTTAGGGACCAGTTGTAGTTTCACATTAGTCATGGCAAACCTGCCTCTGATTTAGGGCTGAACTCACCCTGGGGACATTATATATCTGTGCCCCACTTGTAAGATTCATGACCTGATAACATTGTCACAAGCTCCATGATTTATAAGCATTTTGTCAACCAAAGGAGGAAGAAAAAAGTGCAAATGCTGTGTTTGCTAATAAATAAACTATCATCTTTACACCTTTTAATCTATAGTCAAATACATGCTGTTGTTTATCATAGGAAGCAAATATATCTAATTAATTTATACAATAATGGGCGAGAAGATTCTTCTTCATGCTTGTGTTGTTTTTTATATATACTCTAGCCTGTAAAATTGGTAGTTTTCCAGTTTAGGTTTAATTTTACTTCCTAACACTTGATATGTCTGAAGCATAAAATGTTTATCTCTTTCTTCCATCTGGGTGAAGTATTGTACAATAGTTCAGACCAAAAATGGGTTCAGCTTGCTTACATTATCGTGTTTGATAGATTGACATATGTACTGTTTCACACCATCTTACCACGCAAAGCTTTGCTGCCAGCTACCACCATCTTATTCATCAGCATTCAGTAATTCATCTTCAGGCCAAATGGGACTGTTTACCTGGGAAAAAAAAAAAAAAGTAGGCAGGAATTCACCTGTCAGTGCTTTCATGGAATATGGGGGGGGGGAAGTGTATATGTAGTGCAGGTGGCTCTCAGGGGATTTCAGTGAGCAAATATAGGGTCTTTATGGTGCAGAATCCTCATTTTGTCCTGAGGAAGGAGATGTGGGACAGTTTATACTGCCTGAAGGCTTGTTCATCAGAAACCAGGGAGTATGTAGAGCTCAGCATAGTGGTGAACTTCCACCAGCTGGGGAAGTTTGGATGTCCCATGGATCAGGATAAGCTGCGTGGCAATAAACCCGACATCTCCTTTTTAAGCTTTGTAATATCCAGCTCTCAAATGTATGCAGTGTTATGAATGTATCAAAGTGAAAGTGTTTATAGTATTCTAGGTTTGAATCAACTTAAATAGATAATGACTGCTTATAATTGGCTTATTCCAATGGAAATAGCTTAGCCTTAATTTGACAACAAGAGCTTTTACAGAGTCATTGTTTTATTATAAGTATGCCGTAAGCTATTAGCTACTACTTTGTGGTTCCTCTTATTTGCCTGAGTCAGCTCTCTAACATGCTCAAAACATACAGATTCTAGCAGGAGTTATTTGTTACACAGTAATTAACTTGTTTATGATAAATGGATGGGAGAAATGTCACGGCATTTTGTTTTATGTATAAATGAAAAGCATCTGCATTCTAAAAATTCCGTGTTAATTAGACTTAAAATAGTTTTCCCCAGCAGTGCCACAAATACCACATATTGCACATCACTGCCAGCCCTGTGGCCTGATGATGGGATATTAGTTGAGGTGATTTGTGGAGCCAGTGCCTGCCTTAGAAATGCCGTCCCTGCATCTCTTAATGAAAGTTACTGGGGTGTACTTTGTTATATTTCTTTTGTCTTTGTGTTTGTTTGCACGATAATAAACTTAGCCTTGATCACTGATGCACGATAATGTTTAAAATAGGTTTGTTAACTATCTTCTTCTTTAGCCTAAGGGGAAAATCTCAAAGCCTGCAGTATGGCAGAGGACGATTGCAGCACTGGTATCTTTTTCTCTTTTTTAATTATTAATGTGAACTTAACATGGTGAGAACATTGGTCCTGAGGGGTGGGGAGCAGCGACATGCAGTGCTGCACCAAAGGCAGTTCAGCAGTGACTCGGGGGATCTGATCCCTGAGTGTGAACTGAGGTGGAGGGGAGCGATGATGACTAGTGGCCTCTTGGGGAAAGAGAGAATAAGGAGCAGGATGCTGAAAGCAATGTGCAATGTGATCCAGGGGGGACTGATACTCTTGATAGTTTATGCCCTTTTCCATTTTTAGTAGGGTTTTTAAAGATTGTAATTAATGAGAAATACATTTTCCCAAATGAGAAGCTCAGGTTTTATTGGCGTGCTGGGAGGGGGTGGGATGGCATCAAGGTGTTAAATGCATTATTCCTCCAGTGCAATACCATCATAGTACAGCACATCACCTCTCAGATACACCTAAACTAAACAGCTCACAGCTTTACCTACCACCAGGAGACAGCACAAGCAGTTGAGATGTACAGCCCCTCTTTTGTTCTTCTGTGCATCTCTTCCTCTGCAGTGATTCATGTTTCTGTTGCCCACCTCGAGCAGTTCCTGTAGTGCTGTAGCAGGATAACTTCGCTTGTGTAGGCAGCTACGTTTGGGTAAAAGTGTGTGGAAGCACAGTTTATTTTCATATGGGAAGATGAATAAACTCTGCCAGCATGTTCTGCTTTAAGCAAGTGTACGCAACCAAAGGTAGCCAAGCTCATGCAAATGTATAAAAATGTAATTGCTTCCATACCGGGATTTTTACTAGCATTATTTTGTGTTAGAAATGAATAAAATGCATAAAAGCTTTACTGAAATACCAGTTTTTTAATAAGAATTCAGCATAGAGGCTGTCTCTTTTAAGTTTTTTAGAGGTAGGATGTTCTTCGTGGTTGAAAGGTTTTTGTTCTCCCAATGAGGTTTCAAAACCTCCATCCTACTGAGCCCTCATCCTATCCAATGTTAAAGCTTAGGAAGGCTGTGAATACTGTTTTGAAAGCATAAAACAGATAGACCAAAGAACCCCAGCATCCCCAGTCTTCATGGGATACAGTAGATAGTGTAGGCTTCCTGCTTTTCCTTGGTTTAGAGTCCAAAAAATACACGGGTACCCATCTGCTGTTAATTTTGGTAGGAGCTTGGTTCCCACGGGGTTCTGCAGATTGGGGTCTGCCCCTGAAGTGTGTATGAGAAGTTGCCTGTGGCCTCTTCTGCCCCTGGTCATTCCTGTGTCTTCTCAGTGCCCCTTGGTGTGTTGTACAGATGTTTTTGGAAAGGGAAGATCTCGGGGAGTGCTGGGCTTTGTTCTGCTGTTTGGTGGGGTTTTTGAGCACCTCTTGAGGGTTTCTGTTCCTCACAGCAGCTCTGCTGCAGCCTACAATAGCCAGTGCCTTCTCCAAGCTGCTCTGAGTTGAAAAAGCAGAGAGGCTTTTCCATTCATGTTTTCATTATTTTCTGCTCTGTGATTCTGCATGAAAAGCAGTTACTGAAGTTATCGTACACGTAATTAGCTTCACAGTTCCCTAATAAAATCTGAAGGTAGGAGAAAGTCCACCGGGAATGCAGAACTCTTTCCCTAACCTTTCTTCATTCCTTTCTTGGAGGGAAAAGAGGCAGACAGACATCAGCTTTCTGTGTTAAGCCTGTACGTGCCCCAGTGGAGCTGCCTCTCAAAAAACACTTCCCACGTTCTGCAGGACAACTTCTTTTAAAAGCAGTTTCTCGTGATGGGCAAGTTGCAAATCAAAACCATAATTTCAATCATGAGTTCCAGGGGAGACCCCAGAAAGAGCTG